TTTGGTTGGGAGAAGAGGAAATGGGGTTCCTGCTGTGCCTCAAGGCACAGCAGGCTGCTGTGAGGCCCAATAGGGGTGTGTCCCGAGTCTTTTTCGATGATCTGAACCGTTCATATTGTAAGGCTTGTCGAATAGATCATTTATCAAAAAAATCAAGTGAATTGGAAATTTTTAGCCTCATGATAAAAACACATTTGTTTTTCAAAAAAAAAAAAATGGTTAACATGATTTTAATAATTTTTAAAAAACAATTAGGACTTGATCATGGGGTTACAAATGTCCAATTAATTTGATTTTTTATATGAATAATATACTCGACAAACCTTACAATATGACGGTTCAGATTATCAAAATACAGTAAAAAAATGCCTTTATGGAACCGCACAGCAAGGCTGCTGTGCCATAAGGCACAACAGCAACCCTCAGTCAGATTGGTCCAAGCGTTTTACAGGTTGACTGTCTTTCGTCTTCCTAATTGTACCTACAACCAATCCAGTAGGTAAGTTCCAAAATGGGGGTGGTTTGGACCTTGTTGGGCTATGCCCATCATTTATATATATTGACTACAATTTTTTATCCATTACTTTGTGCAACAAGGTCGCGTTTGTTTGATTGTAGTATATTATTTTTTATGAGATTAGGCTTCGTTTGGAAAATTGACTATTTCAGTAGGTTATTTTAGTTTTTAACTATTTTAGTAGATTAAAATTTTTGTGTTTTAAAAGATGGTTGATTTTTTTTTTATAGTTGTATGTGATATTTGTGAGAAAAAAAGTGAAATGATTATGGATTTAATGTGACATTTTATTGACTATTTTAACTTATTATGTCTTTTATAAATTCTAGCCAAAAACAAAAACCCACTTACCAAATGAGATTATTTATAGGATTGTGAGAGATAAAATTATATTATGAAATTACATGAAATAAGGATTGTATATATAATATAATTATGAATAAGATTGTTGTGAGGGATAAGATTATATCATGGGATAATAAATAAGATAAATAATGGGATAAAGTGAGTGAGATATTATATTTGGTTAGGATAAAATAAAAAGATATAATTATTTTTGACTGAAGGATGGATAAAGAGGCTTCATTCTTCTAATACCACATTACCTACGATATTATTTAATCTCTTTATTTTTTTCTATGTAATTATCCATATAAGTACTACAATTATCCGAAATTTAATATGCAAAACAAACACTAGAATTATCAGTGAAATCCACATGTTTCTTACCTTTAATTCCATATCCCTTATCCCACAATCAAATACCAAATTAACTAGCGGTAACCCGTGCGATGCACGAAAAAATAAACTATATACATTTTGTGTAATATATAAATTATTCTAATCTTGAATTATATTTTAATAGCAACAAGCCATGATGCTAGGCCATCTTGGTTGATGTTAACAGTAATTAATCTACAAAATTTCACAATAAAAATTTGATATACATAAAAAATTGTTAATTATAAAGATTGTTAGGATAATAGTATTACAATCACTTGCTAACATAAATAATTTGTATCAGACTATAGTGTCATGCAAAAAAAAAAACAAAACAAAACAAAACAAAACAAAAACAAAGCATTAAAAGAAATAAATTGTATAAGTTATCATAAATTTACTTATTTTAAATCAATGATTTATATTATTATTGTGGGACCAAATTATGAATAAATCTCAACTTTTAATTATAATTTGTAAGTAATCATTCTCCATAACTTGAATAATACTTGCATAGGTTTTACAATATTTAAAAAAAAAAATCAAGATAAGAATTTCGTAGGATTATAAAAATTATATAAGAAAATAGTTTAATCCATTTTATTTATAAAAAAAAATGATGACAAATTATTTGAATTGTATTTGAAGAAATATAACAAATGATAGCTTTAATCATTATATACCAAAAAATAAAAAAAATTATATAGGTTACTCAACAACAAAATGGTCGAATATAACTAAAGTCATGGACATTGAATTAAATCATATGGGCTCTAAATTGATAATATAATCTAATAAATCAACTAATAATAAAAGAGAGATATCAACAAATATGTAATATTTCTCTACCATCTTTGTATTATATTCATTAATTTCATATATCATATGAAAGTTTTACTCGTCTCAATCTTTCAATGAAATAAGCACCAAGAAAACAAATTTGATAAGAAATTAGTTCTAAACTTTATTATTAAAAAAATAGAAATTTCAAAGAGAAAATTTAGAGATGGGATTGAAAAAATACTATAACAAATGACAATCTAATAAAAAAAATAAAAAGGAAAAACACATAGTAATGATCTAATGTAAACTATTTTTAAAAATTAAAAGAAAGAATATCAAATTATTACCTTGGATAAATATAGTGACGGAAAATAATTTTGTGAGATTTTTGTATTGCCTTCTCCCATACAGCTTTCATTATTTAATTATTAATACTCTTCTTATTCATAGCCAACCAATCTTTTTTTATATATATCTTTATCACTTGGTAGATAATAACAAATAATAAAAATTATGAGGAGTAGGTTAAGAGGAGATAAGAAGTTATAGATAAGAGCATTTCACAAGATAAAAAATTCAAAATAAAAAAAGATAATATGTGATAAAAGGAGAAAAAAATATAAGTAAACCAAAATAAAGATTTAGATAGATACGTTTTTGATAGATATGGATTAACAAATCATATATTTATCTAAATTTTATTATTTTAATTTTTTTTTGTAAATCAATTAGTTAATCTCTATCTTTATCTATAGACCATGGAATTAATTTTTATAAATTATTTATCAATTCTTATATGTTTATTTATCTATAAGTCATGAAATTATTATTTTTCAAATAATTTTTAAAATTTTTATCTTTATCTAAATGTCATGAAATAAATTTCCATAAATTATTTATGATTTTTTTATATGTTTATTTATAATGAAATTAATTAAAGTACAAAACGAAGGGCAAAAAACACGAGTGATTTTTTTTAAAATCAATTTTTTAACCTTTATTTTTATCAGTAGGCCATGAAATTAATTTTTATAAATTATTTATCAATTCTTATATGTTTATTTATCTATAAGTCATGAAATTATTATTTTTCAAATAATTTTTAAAATTTTTATCTTTATCTAAATGTCATGAAATAAATTTCCATAAATTATTTATGATTTTTTTATATGTTTATTTATAATGAAATTAATTAAAGTACAAAACGAAGGGCAAAAAACACGAGTGATTTTTTTTAAAATCAATTTTTTAACCTTTATTTTTATCAGTAGGCCATGAAATTAATTTTTATAAATTATTTATCAATTCTTATATGTTTATTTATCTATAAGTCATGAAATTATTATTTTTCAAATAATTTTTAAAATTTTTATCTTTATCTAAATGTCATGAAATAAATTTCCATAAATTATTTATGATTTTTTTATATGTTTATTTATAATGAAATTAATTAAAGTACAAAACGAAGGGCAAAAAACACGAGTGATTTTTTTTAAAATCAATTTTTTAACCTTTATTTTTATCAGTAGGCCATGAAATTAATTTTTATAAATTATTTATCAATTCTTATATGTTTATTTATCTATAAGTCATGAAATTATTATTTTTCAAATAATTTTTAAAATTTGGATATTAATCCAATTAGATAGTGAATACCACATTAATTTAATAGGATTATTAATACTTCACTATTAATCTTGTGAATCAAACATGTGCACTTAGCATTTCTCCTGAAGCTAGCGCATACCACCGTAAAAATTAAAGAAGCAATTTAAATGCGCAACATAAATATGTTTAGATAGTAGATATATCCCATTAATCAACCTTATTTACTTATAAGTCTTTATTTTATTTTTTTTAAATATTTATTTTACCTATCAATAACTTAAAAAAAGTGTTGAGGCAACATAAACATTTTAAAACTTAGGTGCTGTTTGATTCACTATGCTAAAATGATCATTTCATTAAAAAATCTATTTCCATATTTGATTAATTAAAAAAATAATAAAATTATATTATAAATGAAATCATAAATCATCTGAAATCATCCTTCACCTATAAGTTATAAAATATTTTTAAATTAACATGAAATGATTCGTGTTATTTATTTTAAAGAGACTTACAATCCAATTCTATTAATCAAACTTATTTCTGTATAAGTTTTTTAATTTTTATTTTTTACCTATCAATATCTTCAAAAAGTGTTGAGGCAAAATAAACATTTTAAAACTTAGGTGGTATTTAGTTCACTAGAATGAAATAATTATTTCATTAAAAAATCTATTACCATATTTGATTAATTAAAAAATAACAAAAAATACATTATAAATAAAATCATAAATCACCTTAAATGATCATTCACTACTCTCCCTATTCTAGTCCAATGCATTTCATTCTAATAAATCAATATTAAAAAAGGGTATAGAATTTATAAGCATTTAAATTCATTGTATAATACTTATCCCTAATTCAAATTAAAAAAATCACCTTATTTGGTTTTGAGTTTTCAAAAATAATTTTCTGAATTTTCAATTCGTATTTTTATATTTTAAATAATTTTTACAATATTTTAATCATTTTTTTTTAAAATTTTTTTTGATCCACATAATCTTAATGCATTAAAAAGTAAAAAAATTGTACATTTAAAAAAAAAATTCATTAAATACAAAAATATATTGAATTTTCATATTTTTTATATTTTATATTTAGTGAATCTTTAAATTTTTTTTCATAAACATTATACTTTTTAAGCATATTTTAAATTAGGAATATCTAAAAAATAAAAAATTTACCTAAAATATTAAAAAAATTCATTAAAAAACAAAAAAACAAAAAACTCAATTTTCTCAAACTCACCTTAATTTATCATTTATTTATTTATATATTATTTTCTTGGGCTTGAGCCAAACGGGTAAGTCCAATTTTTAGAATCTTTTTAGAACCCTGATTTGTTATATATTACAAAAAAAGGCCCGGAACTAGAACGATCGTGATCCTGAAGACCCCTCATTCATTCTCTCTCTCTCTCAAAAACCAGTCTGGCGACGATCCGGAGATTCCAATGGCGAAATCGTCACCGGTGTCTGTGCTGAAAGCATACTGGTTTCCTCTGATTCTCTTCGCATCATCCATGTTCTATCAGATCCTGATCCTTCCTCGTTCCTACCCTCCTTCTCACTACGATGGTCACACTCACTCACCCACTATCAAACTTTCTCTTCTCTCCCTTTCTTCACTATCTACTTTTCATAACAATCAATTTTTGTAATTTCAGTTTTGGGGATCAAGAGGTATAGTTCCTTGGAACAAGTCACTGAAGCCTACGAGAAGTTCTCATCCAAGTGGTAATAATGCTCTTCACTCTCTAAAATCTCATCTTTTAGTACATCAAGTTTTCAATCTATATATGCATACATAGTGAAGTGTGATACTAAGCAGTCTAGCCTCTCTAAAATCTTATATTCTGTTTTAACCCTTGACAGTTTTATTTGTGACTTGTGAGATACTAAATTGGGAGGTTAACTTTGTGTCTTTACCTCTAAAAGTACGGACACGTGACAAGACACAGTGACGCAGATAGATAAATTTTTTAAAAATATAAGACACGGTGTGTTGGGATACGTTTAAAATATATATTTTTATTATATGTATATTTTTAAATATGTAATATATATTTTATGTTAAATATTTAATTTTATCAAATTTATCATATGCTATTTTAGTAAAAAAATTAAATATTTTAATTTAAAAAGAAAAAAATAGTACTTAGTGTGTCCCTAATGTGTCCCTAGAGTGCCCCTAGGTATCCTCAATGTGTCCCTTGTTTGTCCCAATGTGTCCGCGGCGTGTCCAAAGTGTTCCAATGTGTTCAACTCTTTCTAGCATGTCTGACATGTGTCCAACGCGTGTTAGTGTCCGTGTTCGACATGTGTCAAACACCTGTATGTGACCTCCGGAGAGGTGTCTGTGCGTCATAGCTTTACGTCATTTTTATTAATCAATTTTTTATATTGTGTTCTTTCTAATATTTTGAAGGCATACATTTCATGGAGTGGCTTTACTATGGTATGCAATGGTATACGATATTGGTAGGGCTTGTTTGATTGGTTGGAGTAATATTGACGGGACGGGATTAATAATCCATGGGTTTAACCATTGGATTGACTGTTCAACTCAATTAAGGCTTGTTTAATTAGGCATACTATAACATAAGATTGAGATTATTAATTCATAGGACTCACATTCCATTGCTTGGTTGCAAATTTTATTATTCGGATTAGATTCCAATAGTTATTCTATCCAACATAATTGATAATTTTTTTTAATCTTACAACTTTTACATATAATTGGGATTATAAATTTTTATATCTATTGCAAAATAAACTTGGATAAGAGGAAATTATGTATTTCAGCAATCCAGTCGGATAACTAATCCTACACTAATCTCATGGATTGTTAATACCCTCGCTATTAATCCTTACTAATCAAACAAGTCCTTAGTGGATTATTAATAATAATGCCTACTTCCATATGGTATTGAATATCCCATGATTTTGTGGGATTAGAAATCCTACGTATTACTAAGCCGGCCACCATTTATGTCATCAAAACGTAGGAATGTGTGTATCACTGGATCGACAATCCAATCCTATGCTCTAATACTAGAATCAAACAGGCCCATAATGAAATATATTTATGTAAATGGCAGTGCAATGTTTATATAATATATTCTCAATCAACTTGACATTCAAAAGATGGACCTATGAACTCTAAATAGAGTAGAATATGAAGAAAGAGAAAGTGAAAACTCTTTATTTTAAAGCCTAAAAGGTGTGTATATTTATTGTTAAAGAAAAAGTAAAATATAATTGTGGAACCGTTGGGTTGGACTGGCTTGACCCATGTTTATTTCACTATAATAACAAAAGAATGGTGGGAATAGACTTGTGAGACCACACAAGCTTATTCTAATCTACCCTAGAACCTTAAGATGTGAAAATCCTCCAAACAACTTGAACACTAAATATCCATACAATCTTGTTTGGGGTCTTTATTGCAAGGGAAGAAGTAAGCAAGAATCTCTCTTTTAATCTGTCAATTTGATAGAATCTGCACTTGGCCTTTCTAGCAATTGCCTAAAATAATATAGGAAACATGAATGAACCTCTTTGCGCATACTTGAATCAAATATAATTGGAGTGTATTTTTTCAGGCAATTGGAAGAAAAGAAACAAGTAGGGTGACATGGGTACCCTTGTTTAAGGCCTTTGGCACTTGGGAAATATTCCTTTAGTTCATTATCATTGCCATTAATTAAAAAGCTGGGAGAAGTAATACATGTCTTAACCCAACTTATAAACTTTTTAGGAAACCCCGTCCATCAAGTGTCTGGAGCTTGGAATGCCAACTTACTGAATCATAGGCTTTTCTTAAGTCCACCTTCAAAGCACATTTCCTGCCATTAGCACTGTGATGATATTTCCTGAGAAAGCAGCACATTATCAGCAATCCTCTCCATCCTCCATAATGGGCAGTTTGACAATGTGACACAAATGAAGGATTTAAGTCTATCTGCTACAATTTTAGCAGTGCACTTATAAATGATATTACAATAAGAGATAGGTCTATCACTTAGATTTGAAGGATTAGGCAGCTTGCCGATCCAATTAATCCCTATAGATTGAACTTCTCTCAGCAAGCACCAGAACTGAAGAAAAAAGATATCCAAGCAATCACATCATCACCTATAATGGACCAAGCTTTTTTAAAGAACATAGCATTGCATCTATCAGCTGTTGGAGCTTTTTCATCTTTCAGTGAGAACATAGTGCTTCATCTCTGCAGGAGCAACATAACCTGAGTAACTCACATTTCCGACATTCAGTAAGTTGCTTCTTGATATAGTTTTTTATGCCACCTAAAAGTTTATCAAAAAATGAGACAATGTCTTTACTTCATTTGGATCAGTATGACGGAACCATCCTTCTTTGTTATTCCCACTTTTCTATGGCTATCTCTTCTCTGATTTATAGCTTCAAAGTAAAAAACACTATTCTGGTCCCCTAAATTCAACTACTTTATAACATACTTTCCTCAGCCCTACAGCTACTCAACTTGCTAAAATTGAGCATAGCATTCTTGTCTTCGTGAATAAGAGCTACGTCATTTCCACTTCCTTTCAACTATTTTTGTGACCAGTCTTATTTCTCAACTCTTAACAATAATGACCACTATATTTAAGCCTTTTTTTTGGGTGAATAACTATATTTAAGCTTTGAACTGGTTATATTTCTCTCATTCAGAAGGAGAATTGACTTGTGGAAATATTTAGAAGTTAAATTTTGTAAGCATCAATTTCGTTGTTTGCAGGTTCTGAAGTTTGATGATGGTTAAAGTTGTGCTCTTTAAAAGTTAAAGCATTAGTTTAATAATGGATGTCTATGATCACTGATTCACTACCAGTATAGAAAACAGACTAATTTGCTTAATAATTGTCATATACTCAAGGTTCCACTTTGTTTGTTTGTTTGTTTTTAATTTATTTTTCTGCTGCAATATGTGTGTTTATATTACTTTGTGTCATTATATTAGTTGACACGATTATGCATTGTTGTGAATTAACCACAGTAACTTTTCTTGCTTAGTTGATGCCTAGGAAGCACGGATACGGATACGGGATACGGGTACGATACGATACGTATACAGCGATACGGCAAAATTCGAAAAAGTAGGATATGGATACGGTGGGGATACGTTCATAAAAAATATTTTTTTTCACAATTTTTAGTAATGTAGCATACACAAAAATAAAACTTCAATAATTTTTAGTAATGTAACATACATAAAATAAAGCTTCAACAATTTTTAGTAATGTAGCATACATAAAAATAAAACTTAAAACAAAAGACAACTTGATAAAAAAAGTGAGATTCCTATGAACTAAGAGTCTTCAACGTCAATAGGTTCAACTTGTTCTCCTTCATCAGTGAATATCACAGCTTCCATATCTGGTTCATCAAGAGAAAGACTTGCAATTTCAAGTAAGCCTGCACCCTCCAATGAATCAAAAGCATCTCCACCAACATCCCATAACTTGGATTCTCCTTCAATGTACTGTCGACTTCTCCTTGATAGGAGACGAAGATTGTTGTGCAAAAAACCAAATCTTCAGCACGTTGTGGTGTCATTTTGTTTCTTTTCATGGAGTGAATAAAGGAGTAGGTGCTCCAATTCCTTTCACAGCATGATGAGGAACATGGCTGGCCAAGCAATTTTAATGCTAAAGATTGAAGCATAGGAGCAGGAGACTCATGTGTAAACCACCAAATAAGTGGATCCAATACTCCTCTATCAATCTTTGAGTCAAAATCTCCAAACATATCCAAACCTCCTGAAAACTTGGCATATTCCACATTTACAACCCGTCTCTCCTCTAAATTTGGAAAGTATTTCTTGAAGCACTTGTTTCTCATACTTGAAATTTCTTCATCCCTATGAGGAGGGACACGATTGGGATTTTCATCAAGCCACGTTGAACTATAATACCTAGATTACAACATTAGAAAGTTTTAAAATTAAATTATGTTATTCATATTAAAAGACAAAGCTAGAGCGGGTTAATCTTTCTAAT